CCGAGGTTTTAGTGAACAAATAGGCGCACTGCAGCCGCTCGTCTCATCCTCCTTTCCTTCCTTGCTCGGTTTTTTTGATGTCTGCTGCTTGGATACTGCGCAAGTATACCAAGAGAGGTGATGGGAAATCAGATTGTGCATTCTAGACACCTCGGAGTCTTTCCTTCCCCACATCCTCTTCTGTATGCTGTGCAGAATGCAGAAAATCTGCACGGCTTGAATTCCCTGTGGCCTTGTAAGGGTGTTGGCCAGACTGTTTATATGCTTGCATGAAATAAAACACCAGAGTCGTGCAGCAAAACCCAAAGTTGGAGCTTCCGAGCCCATACAACTACATTAGAGCTCGGCAATTAGAAAATGGGCACGAATAAACTCAAACCTCCTCCTTCTTCTTCTTCTTCTTTTGTTTTTAATTAAAAGTGAGTTGGTGCCGTTTTGTTTGCTTTCACGCTTAATATATACACAATTAAGAAGAAAATTATTTTATACATTTAATAATAGATCATTGCATGAATTGAGTCGTTAAATAAATTATGTATATTTTAGAGTTTGGGAATGTCTTAAGACATTTCCCCGGTAATTTAATTATATTTGCGCATTTCTTAAGTCTGCAACAATATTCCCGCACATTTATTTGAGTTTAGACGCTTCAGCATTTTATAAATTAAAACTTTCAGGAACCACATTTAAAATACAATCTAATTTTGTCACTTTTTTTTTCTTTTTTGAAGAAAAAGAAAAAATAAACATGGCCTACAGTTAAGGCTGATTTTAGTACTATTTTGAGCGTAATGTTACACCGAGTCTCGGGCTGCTGGCAGGTATTAGGAGTTCGTTTGTTAATGGCAGCGACGAAACCAACATGCAAGGGCAGCGCAAGTGATAACGGCGGTGTAAATAGTAAAGGACGTCGAGTTAAGCAAACTGTGATTTACCATTAATCTCTTACACGGACACAAATATGAAAAGACGACACGAACTGTGTTTTTGACATTGTGCCACATGACGTGAGTCGGCTTATTTAGTCAGTATTAATGCGTACAGCTTAAACACAAGTCTTACTTAATGTGTTTACATGTTATCATTACTAATTTATCGCTTAATATTATGATTTAAAGAATACCGAAGTCACACTCTCGTTATTTAATTTTTTTAAAATAAAAAATAAATTACATCTGACAAAATTTTGAAAATAAAAATATACATGCATCTCTTCTTAAATAAATAAAATAGGTCGGACATTGCAAAAAAACAACAATTTTATAACTTTCCTGCCGCCTGTTTTTAAGTCTTCATTGTTTTTAAATAATAAATTAAAATATATATATATGATGAGACGCAGAGGAAGTTAGTTGTGTCTTACTTTTCCAGCCCCTTAATCCAGGGATTATTTAGAAAATATAACACAGCCTCGTTTCGCATTTATAAATGTTTAATTCGTAAATAAACTCACCTGAATAAACAATTCTTTCTTTGCTGTAGCCAAAATAACCCACGATTTATAAAGTACATAATAAAGAGCGTCTATAAAGATATAATGATGAAACTACGGATGTAAAGCAAATAATAGAAATACAGACAAGTAGCAGTAGCAATGACGACAACAACAACAACAACAAAACAACAACAACAACAACAACAATAATAATAATAATAATAATAATAATAATAATAATAATAATAATAATAATAATAATAATAATAATAATAATAATAATAATAATAATAATAATAATAATGAAACCGGAGCTCAAATATATCTTGCATCAGAAAATAACAAAAGCAACACAATGTCTGTACTTCATTCAGCGCTTTCTGAGACTCCAACGTGGGAAACTGACGCACATTGGATGATGTTTCCCCTCAGCCTTCGGAGCAAAAATAAAAACAGGACGCAGTGTGTTTTGGTCGTAATTTATCCTCGCGTTGCTTCAATCCTCGAGCTGCAAAGTTCCTCTTTAATACGCGGGTGTTTTTAAATGTGTTTTGGCGAGAGGCAGCGACGGGGCGCTTACGTGTCCAATAAAGTAACTCGTAAAATAAGGCTTCCAAATACATATTGTATCGTTTTGGATAACCGAGGAAGGGATTTGAATGGCTGTAAGTAGCAGTGCTATTGTTGACTCTTCCCTTTTTCTTTTTTTTTTTTCATTCATATATATTTTTTAAATCTCACTCTGTACAGATGTTCAAATCTTGATCATTTATATAAACCAGTGCTTGTTATAGTCGAGCAGGCTGAGTATTTAATGACTGCAGGGATTGATTTATCTTTTATTGTTCGGCTTTATGATCACGTGTCTCAGCTGCCCAATGGCATCGCGGCGTGGCTCCCCATTACTTTCCCCACTGTAGTTCTCCGTGCATGGGGCCAAGTTGCTACTTGATTTCTCCACATTGTTATTTTGCGAGGCTGCGCGCTTTGCTGCGCGTGCATTTGTGTGTGTGTGTGCGTGCTTTTTGGGGAATGTGTGCTTTTTGTTTTACTTTGCATGTATCTGTTGTATGACTGCGTACATGTGAAATCGGTCTAATTTCCCTGCCATGTCGACGTCCGGAGCACTCACGAGCTACTACGTTGATTCCCTTATCCTGCCTGAAAGCGAGGAGCTCTCCACCCCAAGGTACCCCTCCGGTGTCGGTGTCCAGCACGCCAGACAGCCCGCCCCTGTGGTTGACCACAGCGAGCTCGGAACTTGCGGCTTCCCATCGAAAGCTCCCGTTTTCGGACCGTCATGGAACCACGTCCCGGCTCAGTTCCCAGGCGCCGTCTCCTCTGTTTATCACCACTACGGGCATCCGCAAGGCCCGATGGGCGCGGAGACGGACGGCCGCTACCAGTCTTGGCTTCTTGAACCCGTATCAATGACTGGATTACCGCCGAGTCACCATCACTATGCCATCAAACCAGAGGGTCTCGGGACGGCACCGGGGTCTCACACGGCGCTGCTGCTCTCCGATTACGCCAACGGCACGGTGGCGACACCGTCACCCGGAGAGAAGGACGAGTTGTCCGCGCAGGGAGGGGAGCTGAGCGCAGAGGGCGAGGACAAACCGGGCCTGGACCCAAGTAAGTTAGTCCGCTCTACGCTCTTTCATGTTTCAGCTATTTTTACGCATAAAAGCCACGAGGTGCGAGGTGCATGATGTCAGTCGGCATTCTGAACGTGCCATTGCCTTATGGAGGGCTGTGAAGGGCTCACGTTGCAGTATCAGATGTTGGAGAGTGTAGAAAGGTGGACAGCTGTATTTAGACATGAAGCGTCTTTCACTTTCACATATGTTCCTGAGCCATTATTTTTTATTATTGCTGATAGTATTGATAAAAATTAATTTTGAAATGTTCCTCAATGTAGAACCAGTACTTGATCTCCCCCCCGCCCCCCTCTCCACATTTCTTCTAGATAACCCTGTGTCCAACTGGCTACATGCGAGCGCCACGAGAAAAAAACGCTGCCCTTACACCAAGCACCAGATCCTGGAGCTGGAGAAGGAGTTCCTCTTTAACACCTACCTGACCCGGGACCGCAGGTACGAGGTGGCTCGACTGCTGAACCTCACCGAGAGACAGGTTAAAATCTGGTTCCAGAACCGCAGGATGAAGATGAAGAAGTTTAACAAGGACGGCGCGCAGAAAGACGACTGAATTACGCGCAGATTCACACGGGATATCTAGGCTGTGAGCAGATAAAGCTGGACATTTGTTTTTAAAACTCCCTCGTCTTATTGTACTATATAACATCTTATAGAATTATTTGTCTTGTAAAAGGAAAAAAAAAGCATGTCGGAGATTAGTTTGATGCTACTACCTTTAAATTGCACAATTCTGACAGTGCCCATTGTTTTGTTTCGTTTTTTTAATTGCTTTGTTGATTTGAATTAATACCTCGTTAAAGTGTTAAATTAGTTGGCCTGCTCCTTTTAATTGTGCTTGTTTGTGTGTGGATGTTTCTAGCCATGTGTGTGTGTGTGTGTGTGTGTGTGTGTGCGTGTGTGTGTGTGTGCGTGCTTTGTTTAGTTATATTTGTTGTCTAAACGTATAGTTTATGAAAGAAACTGTGTTAATTTTACTGTGTTCTCTCCATAAGTAATAGAACTATGACAGATGGCCCTGAATTTGATACTAACTTTAAAATCCGTAGTGGGGAAAGCAGCTCGCATTGATACACAAACCGCTCAGATCTCTTGGAAATTCCTATTAGATCTTATCACAGGTATAGTTACTATCATCGACTACCTATATCGTTCAACTACCTACAATACGTTTGTTTGTTTTTTAGACTTTGGGTCATATAGATTTGCTGGCATCACTGTAAAAAAAAAAAGAAAATAAAAAAAGAAAGAAAGAAAGACAGAAAAAAAAACGCGTCTGACTGAATTTCAGGGAGTGACATTTCCAATTAAGGGACACCATGTTTGCTAGAGAGAGAAAAGGAAACACTGTAGGCTATCCATTGAATACCTCGCACGGTCTTCTGACCGTCAGACGTTTGGTTCATATATGTAATTTGTATTATTTATTAAATAAAACAAATTATATCTCGAAAGCCTTGGTCGTCGGACTTTCATTTTTTGACTGTGTTTTAGTCAGTCCAGTCTTGCCGTGCGTAAAAAAGTGTCCACAAATAATACTGCATGCAGAAAATACACTGTCTCAAAATTATTTATTTATTTTTTTGCTTATTTCAAGCTAAGTTATTTGGACAGTTTTCACACACAGATGCACAGTAATTAAAATGCATCTATTGGTGCGAGCGTGGTGTGTGAGTGCGCGTCTGTATACGTGTGTGTGTGTGTGTGTGTGTGTGTGTGTGTGTGTGTGTGTGTGTGTGTGTGTGTGTGTGTGTGTGTGTGTGTGTGTGTGTGTGTGAGAGTGTGTTTTGGGGAAAGAGTTGCGTCTTGGCAGAGGATGTTGTTAGCTGTATACAGCCATAAAAGACAATTACGGCTATAACCTTTTATGGGGTGCAAAGCGCTACGAGGCGAGAGGGGACGCGCACACGCTCACGCGCACTTAAAGAAGAGACACTGAGATCTTCGACAGCTGAAGCTCAGAAGAAAGCGCCCGGCGTGTTTGAGTCCAGCTCAGCACATATATGACAACACCCAGAGGATCAGTTTTTAAACGTCTCTTTGTTGCTGCAATTAATTATGATACAAATATGATTATTTCCAAGTTACAGTGAAGCCTGTACTACTGCTTGCGGATTATAAATGTGGATGGTCTGCTGGCTGTGCTGGTTCAAGTCCCCGCAGGTTTGAGATATTGTTTGGCACCATGCACTTTGGTAAATAATGCAATATTTCCTCTCAGTCAACGTGCTCTAATGGGACAAGCTCTCACGGACTCTGACAACAACAACAACAAAAGTATTGACTGCCTTTCCTTCTAAGACTCAATCGAGTCCAGCAGCAGTGGTGTTGTGACGCGTTTGGGGTGGACGCAGATGGACCCAAACTTCAAAGACTCGGCCAGAGACAGCGTAATAAAAGCGCCTGCTCTGGTATACACTGTCTGGCATTCCAGTTTTAATGGCTTTATGGCCGTCCAGACACAATTAGACCTTTTCCAGAATGGCAGCCATTTGTGTATCCCCCTCACCCCCCAACCCCCACCTCCTCTTCGCTTTCTGTGTGATTGAGATCTGGGACAAAAGGCCGAGCGGAAATGATCAGCTTTATTGGATTCCTATCCGACAGAGGGAACGCGCAGGACTCACGGTCATTTGGAACTCTCCTTTGTTTCCACCTGGGAACCTTCCGCCCTTTGCTCTTTTTTTGATCCACAAGGGAGTGGAGAAACAAACTGGGGGCGCTGGAGTCGAAACCAGCAACAAGCTTTAAATTGTTCTGAAAAAAAAAAAATCATATTTGCAGCTGAAAATGTCATCACCAGTGGAGACAAAACATTACCTCTGCCACGTCCCCTCTTCTCTGGCCTGCTTTCATTCCTGAAGTAATGTTGCAAATTTAGAGAAAAAAAAAAACGTTGCCGCAGCTGGAAACCACTTCCTCCACCTCGCAATACCCACAAATTGACAGGAGGTGGCGACACTTTTCCATCAACGTCACTGCTGTTTTTGCTGTTGGAGCAGCTCCTCCCCGGCGAAGGGAGCGGCACAGAGGGAACAAAACTGTAGTAACGTTTTAAGACTCAAGGAAAATAATTTCACACCTTTTTTACAGTCTCACCACAGAAGCTGGTTCCATACCCTGCAGCTCTGGGAAGGGGAAAGGCGACACAGTGAAGATTTAACTATGTGGCTTCCGCCGGATAAATGCTGCTCATGCGCACAACGAAGGTCTACATGTTTACTGGTGTGTTTTTTTTTCCCTTCCTCGGAGTGGCATTTATTTATTTATTTATTTATTTATTTAATGTATTTATGTTGAACCAAGCTTATTTGATATTGTGGAAAATTCAAGTTAATACTGTTTCCCCCCTCGACTTCTAATATGTATCTTGTCTCAGTACTTTATTTTTTTAACTTTTTTTTTTTTTGCAGTAGCTCTTACAAAGAGGATCTAATGTCAAGAAAGGGCCCTAAATTACAGTAAAAAGTGGTCAACCCTGACACAAATAATTAAAGTGAGGTGGGATGGAAACAGAAAATAGAATTATTACATAATGTGTGGATCAGACTGTTGTGGTTTTATTTCATTTATTTTTAGTTATACGTTTCATCCTTCCTGATATTGAATTTCTCTTAAGTTGTTGAGGGCATCGGCATGTTTTAAGTAACCTCAACATCTTACAGTTTTAAGGCAAATTATTATTATTATTATTATTATTATTATTATTATTATTGTTATTATTATTATTATTATTATTATTATTATTATTATTATTATTATTATTATTATTATTATTATTATTATTATTATTATTATTATTACTAGTGGTCGTAGTAGTAGCAGCAGCAGTAGTAATAATATAAATACATTAGGTGCAGGTCATAGTACTTTTTAAAATAGTTGCTATTTTTTCTTCAAAGATGAAAAGCAATGACACATGTTTATTTAAAATACGTTTGAATTGAATAATCTATCTATTATGAACGTAGTGATATTAATATTGATAATAAATAAGTAGGGAAGTAAGTTAGTCGTGTATTTTCTGTTCTTATTTTTTATTTATATGCATTCTATTATTGTTTTTATTGTTTATATATATATATATATATATATATATATATATATATATATATATATATATATATATATATATATATATATATATATATATATATATATATATATATATATATATATAATATGTCCTCGGTTATCATGGACGTGTAGGTGCGTTTTTCAAAACGCAGTGCGTTTTGAACATTTTTTATATAAATATATAATTATACAGTGTGTCTAATAATAATAATAATAATAATAATAATAATAATAATAATAATAATAATAGAAATGTTAGTTTTATAAGGCTGTTTTATTTCTTGTCATTTTAAATTGAAGGAGCTTTTCATGGTCATAAATTACATACCGACTCAAGAATGTATATTAAATTCAAAGACAAAATAGTTTAAGTTCACTTATGTTATTGCAGAACATAAGTGGATTATGTGCATTTGCATAAATTTGAGTTAACCACTGAGTCACTTCGTTTAAAATACTCTTGAAAGATTCAAACCACTTTCACCATTATTTCGTTACATTTTTAAATGTTCAACAGTTAATTCAGTGTAAGGCGTTAAAAAGGAGTAAATGAGCGGCCACACTGTTAATATACCGATGCCGTCTATTATTGCATTTACTAGAATAGTTGCAAGCCATTAGATGTAGGTAAACGTATTAAAACTAACAAACAAGAATGCATTTCCAGTCTCCTGGTGGGGAAGGAATGAGGTGACATGATACCGTTATGTCTGTAACAGCATCTGAAGATCATTTAGATTGCGAGAATTTCTCTGCAGCGTGTTAATTCGACTCTGCGTGTTTATGTGTGTGAGGTGTTGATCCCGCTCCGTGGTCCGGTGCCATCGCGACATCCACGCCTCCGCTGATTGGATGAGAGCAACCGGGCCTTGGTCACATGGCTGAGTTCTTTGGTCCAGAGCAAAAAATGGGGTTTGGTGTAAATCTAGGGTGTATTGCTGTCATATATCACGCTACCTCGTAAAAACGACACTGAGGATTCTGGGCCAACAAATCAGAGCGGGGGTGAAAAAAAAATGAGTTCTTATTATGTGGACAGTCTCCTTTGCAAATCTGCGCCGGGTAGTTCTCTGTTTCCGATCGTCGAGCGAGCGACTTGTGGCATTGGACCTGGAGGGGAGAACCGTCGGACTGCGGCCATCACGTTTACGCCATCCCTCCCTGGAGTTTACAGCGTCAATAACGCAGCCTACCAGAGTCTGAGCCCCGTGTTTACCTCAGGATGTGGCCTGGGACGAGATATACACACTCAGGACTGCAGCAGCCCGCTTGATCAGGGCCGCCTGTTCAGCGAGAGCTGCTGTCATCCGGGACCGGGACCCCTCACCTCGCCGACGGACAAACAGTACCATATGTACCCTTGGATGAGGGCATCAGGTAAGTTCTGACCCAAAACCACAATTACACAAAAAGAAAAAAGAAACAATACTTACGCCGGACCTTAGCGGTTCGATTAATACCCACCAGCTCATTCCTGTTGCATGGAAAGAATCGTAAAACTTTTATTGCGCAACTAATGAGTTCTGCAGCCATAAATTCATTTGACCAAAGCTCCTGTGTGTTCACTATAGGCAGAGACTTGCCGCTGGGGGTTTTTTTCCTCTGCACTCCTATTACTCTTACAGCCTCTTCTCCCCCTTTGTGGCCGTAAAAGAGTCCGGTCTGCGGCGTAAATCAGCTCCCCCGTACTCTGCAGCTTCTTTCTAATTGAGTCTGCACCGCAGAGGCTGTGTTGTTCTCTGAGAACCAGGATCAATATGACTCACAATTTCCGTCAGATGGATTCAGAGCACAATGAAACCTATATATACACTTTTTTTTCTGCCAGTGAGAACTGGTTCGTTTGGCTTGTGTGTGTGTGTGTGTGTGTGTGTGTGTGTGTGTGTGTGTGTGTGTGTGTGTGTGTGTGTGTGTGTGTGTGTGTGTGTGTGTGTGTGTGTGTGTGTGTGTGTGTGTGTGTGTGTGTGTGTGTGCGTGTGCGAAGACCATCATAGGCTTTTAGTTGGAAAGGCCTTCATGGCACCAGAGGTTACAGACATGTACAAATGACTCCAACACGACCTCTTTAAAGCGTGAGAAACAAACAACAACTAAAAAAAAAAAACAATAAAAAGATAAACTTGAAGTAAACATTGTGCCTGCAGCGACAAGTGTTTTTTTTTTTATTGCCAGCTTCCGATAAATAAATAAATAAATAAATACATAAATTAATTAATTAATTAATTAATTAATTTATAATAATAATAATAATAATAATAATAATAATAATAATAATAATAATAATAATAATAATATAATAATAATAATAATACAGCCATTTAATTGATTATTTTCGTCTTCTCTGCAGATTCAACCCGGAAGCGGGGCCGGCAGACCTATTCCCGGCACCAGACCCTGGAGCTGGAGAAGGAATTCCACTTCAACCGGTACCTGACCCGCAGGCGGCGGATCGAGATCGCCCACGCCCTCTGCCTCTCCGAGAGACAGATCAAAATCTGGTTCCAGAACCGCAGAATGAAGTGGAAGAAGGACCACAAGGAAGAGTCCAACCAAGAGGAGATGAAACAGGGCGGCATCCACACCGAATCCGCAGATGGAGAACTCGGCAGAGTGGAGATTAAAGACGGAGAAAGAGAGAATTAAAAAAATGCCATATGTGTTTAGGGATAATAAGGGACATGTTTCTTCACTTTTCAAGCGATTGTGTGATTTCTGCTGCTTCGCAATTTAAGAACTGCGAGGAAGATAAATATATCAACTTTATTTTTAGCTATGTTTTTGCATATAGCTATACCACCACAAATGATCATGCATGTGACTGAATACTACTGAACCAACATTCCGTTGAACGAAAACTACCTAACATGTTCCCCTTTGTACATCAAGCTGTCACAGATTGAAACTAAATCAGGATTTTTTCTAAGCGGACGGATTTTCATTTCTTTTGATGATGGCAAATGCATAGATGTGCCTAGTTTCCGGACGGATGTATGTGTCCTTTAATTCAATAAAAGTTTATCACTGAATGGAAATGTGGGCGTCCTGATCAATAAATCTGAATATTCATACGAGTGGTGTTTCCACCTCAAACCCTCATTTACATACACACCTCAAGAAGTGAAGGCTTCCAAAAATGCTTGGATAAGCATTAGTTGGCTTTTTTTTTTTTTTTTGTTTTTTTTTTTTTTGTTTTTGCACTGGTCGCTCTAATTGACAATGTGTCAGTAGCTAGTACTGTGATCAATTTAGGCTGTGTGCTAACTGTAAAGCAAGCGACTTCCAAATGAGTGGGATGCACATTAAAAGTGTAATGGAGCATAAAGAATATTAGTGAAAAAAATGCTACGACCTGCACATGTTTTTATTACGAACATAATTACAGGGAAAATAAAGGTTATAAACTATAAACTACCACATTTGACACACTATACTACGTATATATATATATATATATATATATATATATATATATATATATATATATATATATATATATATATATATATATATATGCTTATTGTAGTGTGCCAGATTGTGTATGTGTGTAATCGTTGAGAACCTGTTTGCATATGTTCCCACTCTCGTCGATGCAGAAAATGTAAACATATGCAAAACAGGTTGTCCATATTCGGTCACCTGTGCAGGCTATTTTTGAAGTCTGCTCTGTGTGAGAGGTTAGATAAACAGCGAGGTTAAAGAATTTGAACTATGAGGATGCGAAGTGGGACTGGCTGCCTGCGGATGTTGAACTCTGCGTTCCCTTCCCTCTCCTCCTCTCTCTCGGTAAGATGGCGCCTGATGGCGACCTGCACCCCCTCCTTTCTCTTCTCTTTCTCCTTCTTTCTCCTCCCCTTTCCATCACCCACCCTTTCTCTCTCTCACCCTCCGTCCCCAGCGCCGGGCCATAAATCCGTTGTTGTTTATGAAAATTTACAACACAGCGCTTCAACTTTACGAGCCGACTCGGCTCCCCATTGGCTGGACGGCATGGTCACGTGTCATCGAGCCGTGAACATGAACTTTTTTATATTTATATATATATATATTTATATATATATAATTTCGAATAGAGGAATAGAGCAGCCTTTCATTTAGAAGACTCAGGCTTCCTTGCTCGACTCTCTCCACCAGTCACCTACCTCATGTTCAACTCTTTCTCATTCCTGCTATTTTGGAGATTATTGTCGGCATTTTTTCCCTCATTTTAAATCGAAACACGGGATCTATACACTGAGGCATGATTGGATATGTTTGGGCTTTTGACACGCCTTGGCGGGACAAATGGAAGGAGCGCTGGTGCGTCACTGACCCCCAGGAGTCCCGGTTTCCGTCCGTGGACTCAGCTGGAGGCTTTCCCCTTCCAGCCTTGATTTGCACTGTTGACATGCGGAGGCCGTCACAAGGTAAGGCAGCTGAAGTTCCCAGACTGCACATGTTCAGGCGTTTTTATGAATTTGTAAAGGGATACAACATTGCTCCATTTTCCTGTACATTGTTGAATTCAACGACAGGCACATGTTAATATCACATAGATACGTGCCCAGGTTGTTGAAAGACTGCGTCCATTTTGTGATATCTTCGTGTTCTGACTCGCCCATATGGACTTTATTTGTTTGTTGTATTGCTTTAAATGTGGTCTGTGAAATTCAAAACGTGCTCTTTGCTGCCCTCCTGTGGAAAACATTAGGAAAGGCTATAAAGGTCTGCCTTTAGTCCTGGTGCCAAAGAGCTTAACATTTGTGAATGAGCTTATTTTGTGTGTGATTATTTCCTGGACGTGTTTTGCATTTTACCTCAGCGTGCTCATTTTAAGCACTGAACCGTCAGACTTCGTGAAACTGCATGTTTTCAAAGCTGCAACTGGTGAACTGCAGACCTCAGTTTTGGAGCCAGAACATCACAGAGCTCAACATTTGACAATTTTTATTCTTGAAAGGGTTTTACATTGTTTCTGAACATACAGGCTTTAAATGTCAATGTGCAATCGCGGGATTGAAACTTTGCCGACCTTGTAGTGTCAGCTGCTGTGCTTCAAACATTTGCGTGCAGCCCCAGCAAAGCCCTCGTGGGTTGACATTTACATCTTTTGTTTCTTGTAAATCTTTTTCATTTTATTGTGTGACCATGCAAATCGTCAACATAGTGGCGTTACTAAATTCGAGACTTTGCTGCTTCAGTTGCTTTGCAGCGAATCGCTGATTGCAGCATAGGGAAAAAATAATAATAAATAACTGACAGTATATCTTTTTGTTCATTATTTTTAACTTGTCTTGTTAAAGTGGTGGATCAGATTATTACAGATGGTGATTATATCGGTGCATACACGTTTTGAAAATAAATGTAAATATTGCCCCCTTAAAGGGCTCTTTGCAGATATTTTTTAATGCTCGTTAACTTTTACAAACTGTTTTTTTTTTCACCAAACAATTTTTTCTTGTACATTCATATATTATGTGGCTGTAATACAGACAAGCACATATATAAATATTTCTATTTCTAGACATTTATGTATTCAGTTTCTAAAATTATTCTCTTTTTTTTTAAAAAAAAGGACAACGTTCATTTTTATTATCATTATTTCGACCGTGCAAAGATGGTTGCGCCCAAAAAAGTAAAAAAATAAAAAATAAAAAAAATAAAAGAGAGAGAGAGATTTGAAACATTATTATTTTTAAGAATAACATTATCTTTTAATTTTGCTCGTTTATTTTGGTGAACGTCCCCCTCGTATAAAAAGGCCAGTTGTAAAGCGATTTCTTCCAATCGTGTTGAGATGCTGCGTCGCTGTGAATGTGCCCCCCCGCCCCACCCCTGACCTCCATCTCGCCCCTCTGCCTCTCTCGTTCCTCCTTTCCTTTATTTCTATCTTCCTGGAGCTCTCGGGTATGTCCCTGCTTCAACTCAGATAGGTTTCGTGGGAACTTTGTTGCCATTGGCCCCAGCTCATAGATCAGCTGCTGTAAGCGTTGCAGTTTCGGCAACATGCTCCTTGCGCAGCAGCTCATGTGCAACATTTGTGCACTGCTTCGGCGTGCACCGATCCTTTCTGGACTCACCAAGTCGAACCCATGTCTTTGATCTCTGCGTTCTTAACGCGCAAGAATGGGCTTGTGCATTTGGGGAAATAAAACAAAAATGGCCGCTCCGGGGGTGAGAGAGGGCATGAACCAGGGAACAAGTCTGTGCCGCTGAGAGGCGAAGGTGCCATAAAAATTCCAGAAGAGAGAGAAAGAGAGGGAGAGTGAGAGAGAGAAAAAGCCAAACGGGAAGCTCTGGTCGTTGAATATGTGCACGGTTTTATGGAGGCTTCTGCGCCTTTATGTATACGATTCTGACCTAATTCCATCGTTCATCTCTTTATAATATAATGTCTGAAGCTGATTTATACATTTGTGATATAATGAAAAGCTGAACAGAGTGATTGGAATGCTTTGAACAGAGCAAAAACATTAAAAAAGAGACAGAATATAAGTTTCCAGCTGGAAGTTGTTTTTTTTTTCAGTGACCATTCTTCAAAATCATTGTTTGGAGAAATACAGAATTCTTCTGTGTCTGTGCAATTCTAAACAAAAATCAGCAAATTATAAATTTGGAGCACGATGAACCCCTTATTTCTTTTCTCCTGCCATAATTAGTCATTTTTCTATCTTTTCCTCTCTGTCATTTCAGAGACTATTTCTTCAGTTTGAAATTTTAATTTAAATTATTTGCGAAATATGCATATATTTGTTTTCCAACACTTTGTCCTCTCCCTCTCATCCTTTCCTCTGAGTTCGAGAACAAATCTCGGTTGCCGTTAGTTTCTCATAAAAAGAGAACTGTAATTCTCACATCGGTCTTAGTTGACATCTCACACACATATAAAAAGTAACTTTGCTGGAGGACGGAGTGTTTAAAAGTCAGAATGATTAAAGAGTCGCCTCTAAATAAGACAAAATAAGGTCGGATTATGTGCGTAAAAAAGACACGCAATAGCCATCTTCTAAAGTGTCTGATGCTTTGCACCGACCCATTCTAACCTGCTTAAAAACCATATTTCTGTGTTCATATAAAGCCTGTATGTGTGAGTATTCATTTTGCCAAAGTGGCACAAGCCGTAAAGGCTGTGAACGGCAGGCTCTGCTGCATTATTTGATCTTATGTATGTGATGTTTTGAGCTTCAATCTCCTCTCCCAACATTTACTCATCAGTACGTTCTCCCATAAAGTCGTTCAGCTCTTTTATAAGGGGAAAAGTGCAAAAAGAGCGCGGCCCTGTTCTGAATGGGCTTTTATTCTATTAACTGAGCCTATTTGCAGCCATCTCCCGGCACAACGTGCATAACAGATTCTGATCGAATTATTCCTGTACACTATCTCTGGAGAGATTGCACTCTCAGCATGTCACGTTGTATTGTTCGGGAGACCTCTTTCTTTGCCGCAATGGTCGTTAACCTCCGAATGACCCCCGTGTGTGGAGCCCACGCCTCGGAGAAGCGCCGCAGACAGTCAGTGCAACAGTTGCGCCAGAGGATGGCGCAGCACGACAGTGGAAAAACTCCTTGCGTAGCTGAGAGCTCAAGGCAGGGGAGGCGCGCACTCCCTCCCATCCCGCCCGAGTGTTTCCTGCGTGCACGAGTTTACCTCTGGAGGTCACCAGGCAGGATTTACGACTGGTCAACAAAAGCACGTGATTCTGCCTCGTACCCCATATTTGGGTGCCTACGTAAGAGAGAATCAAGTCCATGTCCCACTCTCATTTCCATAATTCATCATAAATTGTGCAAGGGTGCAATAGGACGCGCTAAAGCATAAGAGCCACAAATCAAGGAGCTGCAGGTTTATGCTGTTTACTTCCACCAAAATAATCACAAAAACAACAGCAATACCTGCAGCGGGCAAAAAAGGTGGAACTGTCAACAAATGAGCTCCTATTTTGTGAACTCATTCTGCGGTCGCTATCCCAATGGCGCGGACTTTCAGTTACATAATTATGGAGAGCATAATACCGCGAACGAGCAATACAGGGACTCCACGGCCATGCATTCCAGCAGGTACGGCTATGGCTACAACGGAATGGACTTGACGGTCGGGCGGACCGGCGGCGGACACTTTGTGGGCAGCGAGCGGACGCCGGGCTACTCCCCGACGCACACAGCGGCGGCAGCGGCCAGCCCTTCAGTGGAACCCGTCAGGTACAGCCAGTCCGCGGGCGGCAGCCAGAACTCGTCCCTTTCGCCTCCACCTGAGCCTGTGCCGTGCTCCTCCTCCACGGTGGCCAGCTTGTCGCCGGGCGCCGAGACGCAACCCCAACTCAGAGCCGTGAAGAACTCCATAAGTGGCGCCCAGTGCTCGAACGGGGGAGGCACGCTGTTGCTTGGTCGGGACTGTGCGTCCAAGGCTTCCCCCCTGGAGGAAGATAAGCCTGTGGGGAGCGCACCGACGACCCCTCAGAGTGCCGGCGACTCGGCACAGCCGCAGATATACCCGTGGATGAGAAAACTCCACATAAGTCATGGTAAACTGCTCTCTTTAATGATCTCTGATCGATTTTATGTCTTGTATGTGGAGCTGGAGCTGTTGTTTTTTTTTAAAGAAAGTATTGTAACTTGCAAACAAATCGCAGTGAAATTTCGCTATTTTATGTTCGTGGCGTTTGAAACAGATATTTAAAAAGTGGCACCAAATTGCGCCTCTCACCTGTTTTGTTAAAGCTTTGATTTACACAGATAAGGGTCATTTAGCAAAGCTCACCTTTTAGTCAGAGATTGAAATGTTGTTTACCGATACAATTTGAATTTTGAAACATTTTGTGTACTTACTTCAATTTCTGAAGTGTGTAGATGAATATATTAATGTCCAGATGGTTATCAATTCTTTTTCACTCAGTTCAGTTGCGCTCCACTCATTTGTGCAGCGCTATGGCACAACAAATGACATGGTAGGGATATTTCTATGATAAATTCATTAAGTTAAAACGGTTCCAGAAAGTCAAACTCAAATTTGCTTTCGGGGAGAAAAAAAATAAATATAATTTCGGATTCAAACTTTAAATTTCCAACTCGAATAATCAAACCCATGACGCACAGCTCCCCTTATCTTGGAAATAATGTCTCCAAACTTTACACACTCGTGTAAACGTTCTTTACAACTCTTTCTCTATCTGGTGTGCCTCTGTCCAAAGATTTGTCCGGACCTGAAGGGAAGCGAGCCCGAACCGCCTACACCCGGTACCAGACCCTGGAGCTGGAGAAGGAGTTCCACTTCAACCGGTACCTGACCCGCAGGCGGCGGATCGAGATCGCCCATGCCCTCTGCCTCTCCGAGAGACAGATCAAAATCTGGTTTCAGAACCGCAGAATGAAGTGGAAGAAGGACAACAAACTGAAGAGCATGAGCATGGCGGCCGCAGGCGGGGGTGCATACAGGCCTTGATAGCCCCCCTGCCCCCCCTGCATCCTCTCTCATAAATAAAGTGAAATGAAATAAACTATTGAAAGTGTACATAAAAAAATAAAAAAAAAATAAGAAAAAAAATCTCGCAAAGACTTGTTGGCGGAGGCTTTGAGCCACCTCGCCTTCTGTAAATGCCCCCATTAACCTTATATTTTCTTTATATTCTCACCGTGTTAATCAGTATGCGAGTAAAAATATGCATTCTGTACAGTTCTGTTTAGATTTAGGACAAAAAAAGAGAAAGAAACGTTTAAATTATTTCTTGTTCAGAAGGAGAAAAAAAAATCAAAAGCTTGAACTTGTCCAGTAAAAATCTGTGTGATGCACTCAAAACAGCAGTCTAATAAATACTAACTAAATAGAAGGTTTGTGTTTAGTTCTCTCTGTACATGTACTGTATATGTATGTATTTATTTGTCTCATGTATTGTGCCAACCTGTCAGAAAAAAAAGAAAAAATTCGCTTTCGATAACCAGCAAATAAGCGTTTTGTGTGCGTAATTGTATTGTGAACACACGTGTATGGACAGAGGTGCCGTCTCGCCCCTTTGTATGTACAGTGGCGGTGCTTTGTTTTTTTAAGTTGTTTTTTTTTTTCTTTCTTTTTTTTTTATGCAGGAGATTATGTTTGACTTGCTCACCTGGGCGCAGCAAAGTTAACAAAAAAAAAGAAACAAACAAAAAAAAAAACGTGTTCGTCCCTGTTTTTTCTTGCTGTTTCTATGTGGAAGGTCCCCCACCTTTATGACTTCATCGTGATGAGCTTCTTTTTTTTGTAAATGTTTTTCAGAGACTGGAAAGAGGTTGAAAAAATATGCTACAATAATCAGAAGAATGATATCGATGCTCATGTTGATGATGGCTGTCATAGCCGTGATAATAAACTTTTTACTGGAAACGGCAACTTTAGTGAGTTTCTTTATCAGCTTTTTGATGCGCAGGGTCACTTGGTGGAGGATTTTTCCTCCAAAAACTGGACATGTGTTTTTTATTGCTATTTGGGGTTGGCTAGTTTTTCTCTTCTTTATGACAGAAAAAAATACATTTCCTGATTTAGTTTAGACTAAATCCGGATTTAGTCTAAACTAAGAAGTCAAAAATCTTGTTGAGAGAATCATCCTCAAAACCTTGAACCGCATTTACTCATGAAAACCTCCACTACCGGTAGACCTCTTTAATATATAGCTTTTTCATTTATTCTTTAACTTTTTATCTTCAATTACATTTAGACATAACCTCTTTTCACTTTTGATTTTACAACCTCATTTAGTTATTTGGCTGTTTTCAGCCGGGTTCAGGAACCAGTGGACATCTTTATCTGAACGCTTTTTTCACCCTTTTGCATTTCCGCCACATTTTGTTTATGCTGAGGCATCTGCGGTTTTCTTCTTTGTGGTTAATTCTAGGCCTCTGCTCGCTCTTCCTAAACATTCAATCCCCCCACCACACAAAAAAGAAAAAAAAAAGAAAAAACACAACAAAAACAAACGAAACAAAAAACAAAACAAAACAAAAAAGTCAAAGTCTCCTTGCCTTTTCCGAGCCATATTCGGTTGAATTCAACAGGTTCTCTCATTGAATGAAGGCTGTTACTCACCTTGGTCTGGTGTTGCATGGGAAGTGGTATTGGTAGGGGAGGTGTGTGTGTGGGGGGGACGGGGGTGACTCCACTAACAAGCCCTAAGCAGGGGCCGACCAGTCCACCCCCCCACCCCTCTTTGCGCACACTCTTCTGAGCAATCCCCAGCAAATTAACTCGACTTTTTTCCCCGGCTGTAAACTTTATTACAGGGCCGATTCTGGCTCCTCTTGACATTTGGGTGCTAAATGAATGGGGGGTTTTGTCTATGAATTAGATCGTAAAAAATCAGCCGGCAGAGCGGCCAGATAGGCTCACTGGCCATAAACGGTCACGTGGTGGGCCATTAAAGTAAGTTTTATGGTTTTGGGGAGTTGACAGTATATTGCACATAACATATAATCGCAGTGAGGGCGAAGCCTTGTCTGACTCTCTCTTTGCAGCCTCTGTTGCTCGGACTTTCCTCTCAGCGTGGACCGGACACTCTCTCTCTCCAGGATGAAGACCGCCTCTCAGGGTAAGTTTCTCCAGACTAACCGGTAGCCAGAGTGCAGTCACCCCCGTGTTAAACAGCCGTATTATTGTGTTCGCTCCTCTCTCTATCCGTCCCTATTAGTGCATTACACTAATTTGTCAGTTGTGGAGTGCTGGATACTGGTCTCGGCAGATGTTGCGCAGGGTTGGGTCCAGCTCATGGCTATTTAATTGCTTCCTTTCCTGCGTAACTTGTTTCCCCTCCATCTGCGGTGTAACTCATAATCCATTTTTACATGTTGGATAATTATCCCTATGTCCATTTCCACCCCCACAAAACTTGTCGTTTTATTACATTGGAGGACTCACAGACCGTGCAGCCAGAACTGCTCCATATAGGGCAGCAGGAGAGCGGGCGGTGTTGCCTGATAAAGTTAAGCCCTGATGCAGGCCTGCGGATGCACAATGTGTGATTGGATTGCGATTGCACAGATGACTTTTTGGCGCACGCATGAAGGTCCGTGGTCGCTGAGGGAAAGAGCAAAAGTTGCAGGAGCGCAAACGTGCGCTCCACATGTTGGATGCGCGTGGAGGTGGACTTTGGTGGTTCGCTGTAAACACTGTCGAGTAAACACAACACAGGAAGAAGCAACAACGAGGGAAACGTTCAACAAGGAATTCCGTTTTGTGTCAACCAAGCTTTTCTTCTCCCTGTGTGTGTGTATTCAGGGTTGAAAAGTTCAGTTGACCTAAAAAAAAAGTCACTCTCGCTTTGCGGGTGACCTCTTGTCTCGTCTGAACAAGGGCAAAGGCGGTCATAAGTGGGAAAAGCGTTGAATAAAATAAAATAAATCTTCATAACATGCTGATTGCAATTTTTGTTATAAACAGAGACATTTAGAGTGACAATGTTTTATTACATTTTAGTGCATTTTAGTAGCCTTAACAATAATAATGTGTGTCAGTCTCCTATTTTACACGCAAACAAGTGTGACATAAGTAAGAAACTGTTGGGAGCTGAGAAAACTGGTGACGAGAATGAAATTAAATATTATGAAATATGACCAAATATGGTCATATTTCATAATATTCGATTGGAGGTGACCACGTGGCTGTCTTCTTAGTCGGCCAGACAGATTAAGTGGAGGTTTGCGACGGTTCGGAGGCCTTGTCGAAAAACAGCTTTGGGAGCTCAGAATATGGCGCTGCAGCGAATTCTTCCAGGTGGGAAAAATAACAATCCAATCGGACATTCGTTGAGAAAACTCGTTTGGTGAACCGAGTTCACTCGTGGTTCGATTGAAATTCAAACAACTTTATATAAACCGCTGTCGTAGGAAGAGCAGATCTGTTAGACGGTTTTTTTTTTCATATGCAAATAAAAATATCAATTTGCAAAATCAGTAGATTCAGTTGTCTACTAATTTCTATCGTAATGTGAAGTGGACGTAAAAAAAAAAACACCCCAACAAAAACTAAAACATATATTTGTTTCTACACTCCCCAGTTTCATTTGAGGCATACTGAAAATCAAACAGGACGTGCCTCGAGCGCGGATCTATGGAACCGAGGCGCCCCCCACGCCTCCTTTCTCTTCCCCCTTGCCAATATTTCAAATAAGGGAGACAGTTCGACAGGGCCCCATGTGCAGCGCGCTGCCAGGCTAAGATAGAGAAGGGGAGCGCTGCTGTGGGTTCATCCGGAGGTCAGCCCCTCAGCACAAAGATGAATCTGCATCCTCTCGGAGCCACCAGCAGAGCTCGCTTTAGGCCAAGTTCACTGTCACCCTGCTGCATGCAGAGGAAAACAAGGAAAAATAAACCGCTTCCACATGCATGCACGGCGGCAAACGCGCGCACGCCTTCTCGGCAATGCCAGATTGCCCACGAGGACAGTGCACGGAAATGAAGTTAGCGAAGGTTGCAAAGCCTGCGGTTATGCACCAACGCCGGAGGGACTGATGTGTACAGAGACAGAGAGGGAGGGAGAGAGAGAAAGTTTTGAAGTGATGCTTCCAACAAAGTGTTTCCCCTGCTTTGCTTGCTCTGAATCTAATGGATGATTTGCATATTTTACAGCCCTATCAGCCTTGAGCTGGAGCTTGGTGCTGGATTGATTTCCTCCTCACAGTCACTGGGAATGATCACAAAGACGCAAAAGCATTTCACATCTTGGTTTTGGCAACTCGTCTGCTTATCAAATTTGTGGAAAATGATAATTAGTGCATATTAAAAGAGTCGACTTCTTCTTCTTTGTGTGTGTGTGTATATATATATATATATATATATATATATTTCTGTATATATATATATATATGTATATTGGGAAAGGCTGTGGGAGGTTGCAGATATCTCTCCTGGCTGCTACTGATGAGAGCGATATATGTTGCAGAAAAGGAGGAGGAGGAGGAAAAATTGGGGTCAAAAGTTTACGCGCTGAACAAGTCTCCGTCATCTGTTCACTCGGCGCTTGATGCCAGCCTTTATAAAAGCGATCTTGACTCTCCACACAAAAGGCAGAATAGCTTTGCATTACATATGTTGCACGGTGCACTCCAGGTGAACCCTGGATGCGCAGTGACCTCGCGTTAGGGACCAGAGAGGGGGTGAAAGGGACACCCCCCCACACACACACACACCCCTACACGCACGCACGCACACACACACACACACACACACACACACACACACACACACACACACACACACACACACTCCACGGGTCTCTCCCCCGCCTCAGCAACAAGATTGAGTGTTTGGCGTTTTATTAGGGCGGCTGATTGGTGAATTTCCTTTGAATAAATTGCATCTGATATGTTTAGGGACGAGGGCAACATTTGCATTTTGAGGATTGATACTCTCGACCCGGTCACAGGGTAATGAGAAGACCTCCACCCCCACCCTGAATAAGCCCCAGATCCTTTAAAAACATTTAGCCCCGCTCTTCCTGATCAGCTGAATAGAGTCCTTTAAAAAAAAAAAAAAGAAGAAAACTAGAAATGCCACAGATGTTTGCTGTTTTTTTTCCTTGCGTTTTATCAAACAGTTTTGGATTTTTTTGTTGTCAGACATTTGTTCTAATTGTATTGTCCTACGAAAGGTAATAACATCCAATCAGCAAATGCATATTTTTAATTCAGTTACAATTATTAACCTTTTCACCCTGAGAATTTTTTTTTTTATATTGAAAATACCTGGAAAAACACGGCATTGCCTTTTCTATAAACATCCGTTAGGGAGTGAAAATATGAGGAAATTACGTTTGTTGATGTCTAAACGCGGTATAAAGATGAAAAAGCTACAAACACTGTTTTTTTATTTATGCACATAAAATCAAATAAGCTGCAAAGCGTAAATGTGATCTGCCGCCTTTGTGCATCAGGCGCTACATTACAGAACAGACAAATAAACGGGTTTTATCTTCTGAATGTGTCGCTGAAAAGAAAGCTTGAAAAATCGTCGACAAAATGTCCCAGGGTTAATCAAATAGGCCGAAGAATCCTTACCTTCATATTCTTTGTTTTTTCAAAAAATACAAAAAAATGTGAATAGGACAAATAGGGTAGAAAGCAAAATTCGCATCATACATTTTCCGGCCTAAATATTAAAAATCCCCGACCTACTTTAGACATAACATAAGAAAGATGTGCATATGGTCTGTTTGGAGAGTTGTCCTAGAAATGGTCTCAAAATGTAAACAAGCACAAGTAGCTATTGATTTCCAGACCAGATTCCTTGGCTTCATAATTTATCACAATTGTGAAACAATTAGCAGACAGTCAAACAGAGGATGGATGACACACCTTTTACGTTTAAAACATGTTTTTCTTTTAATATCACGTCA